AACAAATATATCTTGTTAATATTGTAATTGATGATAAAAAAAAAATGGAAGAAATTCAACTTTAATGGGAATTATAAGAATAAAAAAATTGAAATATTTGTTATATTTTTCCATAGTACGTCTTCTAATGTTTGGCTCTGCTCAAGTTTCATTCCAATAAATGTCTTTTGTTATGGTAGAAAAGTAATAAAGCTCGATTTCCAGTATAGTGAATAAATTAGAAAATTTTATTTTTTTGTAAGAAGAATTGGTATTAAATTAAAAAAAATTAATTCGATTAAAATATTAAATCGAAAGAAAAAAAAAAAAATTTTGATATATAAATATTTAATATATTATAGTAAATATTTATAATAAATAATTAAATCAATATGAAAAATAATTAATGTGATTAAAATATAAAAGAAATGTTTTTATCCGTTTTTTATGCATCTGCACAGATATTCGGATTTCGTAGCCTCGGATCGGACCACTACGTCTCAAGTTATTTTTGATTATTCATAAATTTTTAATCGATAATTTAGTTTATTTTGTTTCTTCATATTTGCGACAAATTATTGGTGTGGATCAAGATAATAATAATAATAATAACGAATTCACAATCATTAAATCGAAAAATCCAGTGTCCAAGAGCGGTTAGAAAATCTATCAATTACTTCTAATTATTATCTGGAGTGTAATTCATTATTGCCATCAGAAAATTTGTGAGGTGAAAATTTGCGCAAATTTTCATTAGGATTTTATTTATTTTATTTTATTATTTTTGTACTTACTTTATTTGGAATTATTGAGTATATCTTTCATATACTAGCATGTAATCATTTAATAATTTGTGCTTATAAGTTGCGAAAGTAAACTTAATCCATATGAGCTAACTTTCATTTTGGAAATTATTTCTTTAAAATTTCTTATACAGTATGTAGAATTTTTTTTTGTTTTATGATATCTCAGGGAATTGATGGATTCGAAACGCTTACATGAACTCTCTTCTATATTAGCTAGTAGAATTACATTATTTTATTTTTTTTTATAAATTTAAATAAAATATAAGATTTATAGTTTCGATTCAAATCTCATAATGTTAAATGTAACGACGAAATATAATTTTTAATTTTTGATAAATTATCACAAAACTTTACAGAACTCCTTTAATGGTCAAGAAGAAGAAGTTTGATCAAGAACCAAATAATAAAATCTTTACATTACCGATCACCGACCGACTTTAAAACAAATACTGTTTATTATCAAGTAAGGCTTTTTATAAATTGTTTATTTTAATTATCATCTATAAAAATATGGAAACTAAACTATATGCAACTGATGGTTGTTACTACTAATAAGTTTGAAGTAAGAAAAATTATTTGCAAAATTTTCTATTTCATCATGAAATGATCATAAAGTCAACAAGTGGTTTTTTAACCAGACTAGTAAATATACGTTTCAATTATTTCTTTTTTTAAGAAAGTAAAGGTTTGTTCCAAGAAATTGTCCCGGAAATGCATTCTGGTATTTTGGTACAATCGTGATTATTAAAATCGAAGGAATCAATTAATTAATGGTGGATTTAATCCTTTGACTTTGGATAAAAAAAAATGTGAATGGATGGAAACATATGAAAGGTTTAAAAATTTAAATATCCAAAATTCAATTCTTATTAAAGTTAAAAATGAAAATGATACATTATTTAATAATATGACTGGCGGATAAATTATTCCGTGTGGAGATCAATAATTTTCACATGAAAATGGAAACACTCGTGAGCCCAGTGTTTATTTATGATTTAAAAAAATTTAATGTGCGAAATTTGCTAGTGTGCGCTAATGTGCGGTGCGGGATGTGCGCGAACTACTGTAATTTTAAATCATGATAATTTTGTGCTAGTGCACATTGAATTTCAAACACTGAGTGAACCCATGATTCTACATTTTCATGGCGTAAAAGACTCGTTAATATGTAATTTTAATATAACAGATAAATAATGGAGTTACATAAAATCACGGTGATGATTAATCAGGGACCGTGGCGTAGGAAAATGACGTATAATATTATTTTCGTATATTTTAATGAAAAAATATTTTTCACGGGGTTAGAAGTGAACAACTAGTAAAAGATTTTCTATTATAGATTAGCAGTAGAATTAGTTTATATTTTGATAAATATACTTGTTATCGTGCATTTTTCGAAAAATTTATTGGAATTTTACGAAATGAAATAATTGATATTACGATACGAAATTTTTATAACAAAATAAAAAAAAAAGCAGTAAATAAATATCTGGTAAAAAGCGTATATTCAACTCTATTGTTGTTTTTCTTTTTTATTATTTATTATTATTTTTTTTTTTTAATTTTATTAATTTAAATTGACGAAGAATTAATATTTGATAACACTCTCACCCCACATCTCGCATGAAATAAAGACGAAATTTGCATCAATAACGGTTGGAAATTTTGTCAAGGGATGCTAACACAATTGTGATTACTAAAGTTGAAGGAACAGACGAAATTATTTGGCGAATCGGAAATGAAAGTCGATCATCTGAAAACAAATAAAAGTTTTGTATTTTTCGTTTAAAATCGGTTCAACGTTAGAGAACATCCAAATTTTGGAAATGAAGATCTAATTTTATGAAAAATTGATGTTTATTTATTCTGAAAATTCTATTAAAACAATTTACTATATGTTTTCTATTATAGATATATGAAGTATTTAAAGTTGTTAAAAAAAATCTATTTCACGTAATACTAAAATTAAAAATATTATTCACTTACATAATTAACAATGGGGTGTGAAATGGAATTATTAACTAATTAATTTAATTAATTAATTTAATTAATCGTTTCTAAAAAAAAAAGAACCGTTCTAAATTTTTCTTTTTATTAATATGATTTTGGTGATTAATTAAATATGCTCTTGAGGAAAGAGTCAGGACTTCAGAAAGAAATTTAATCAAAAAAAAATAAAAAACTAGTATCGTATTAAAAAAAAATATCATTAACTTTCTGCACGTTAGGCCAGAAGATAATTATATTATTTTGATAAATTTGTTGCGCAAATTTTTTGATCGATTTTTGGTAACTCTTAATATTTTGTTATTTGTTGTAAAAGCTTCAAAGGTTATTGGCGTATAACGCTCTACGGCATCTTGAAGAATATTTATAAAATCATCAAGGATTAAAAATTTCGATAATGTAATAGTTGAGATCCTTGTTTTTTTTCCTTGAATTATCCAAAACTCAACCTCTCCTTCGGATAAACATTTTTCGTTTTGCACTTTGCGACTTATAATAATTATTAATAAATTATATAAAAAAAAAAATTATTATTTCTAGCACAAGTCACGATATCTTGAAAAAAAAATATATATAATGGATCCAATTATATATGTGAAAAGAATTTGTTCCATGAATTATTTATTAAATGATTTATTTTAAAAATTTAATAAATATATTTTAGTATAATGTATTATAAGTGTTATGCATTTATGGAATTTATGTCAATTCTTTTATGATGTTAATTGCGTTAAAATTTACTCAATTGTATTCGTAAATGATCACATGAGAATCCCGAATTTAGATTATTTATATTACAAAAATATCTTTTGGAAAATCGACATAAATAATAATAGAATTTTGGCTAAACTATATCCGATTTATTGTTCTAAATAAATTTTTAGAGTCTAACGCTATAATAATTTAAAGCTTTACATATAGAGTTTTTAAAATAAGGGGAGGAAGTTAAAAATTGCCATTATTATTATTTTTATTTTCATTATTGTTTATTATTTTAAAGTTCATATTTTACCAAAATCAGAATATTTGTAACACTCCATTATTTAAAATATTAAATTTTGTTACAATAATTTGAAAGGAATTTCTATTTTAAAATTTTTGTAACGGGTTATAAACTTGTATTATTAAATTTGTGTAAGCGAACTATCCGACATTTCTATCAGAACAGAACACTTCTTTTTTCCCCTTTTTTTTTTATTATCATTATAATAATTATAAAAATAAATTAATTTATCTATTTGTTACTGATATTTTATTGTTATCTAATTATCTAATTCACCCAATTCATTGACTTCACACAGTATTTAATTTTATTATATTGTGTATGATAAATATTTAATAAACTCGATTTTTTTTTCCTTGCGAATTTACTTCAAAGGTTCTTTTCCTTTTTAAATTTTTGAATTCATTTCAGATTCCTTTATTATTTTTTTTTTTTTGTGTTTTAATTCTTTACGTCTTTATTCACAATTAATATTTATTCTTTTAATTTATTTATGATATTCTTTATTATTGTTTATTGTTTTTCCTTTGTTCTACTTTGATTATGTTATGTGAATATTTTTAATTTATTATTATTTTATTATCATTTTATTATTATTTTATTTTATCTTTAATCATTTTTTTTTTTGACAAAAAAACAACAACAATTGATAAAATCTGATAAAATATATTATTTATCCAAATTTACAAAAAGTATTTTCATAAATATATTATACAAACCCATATATAGAATATAATAAACAGATTTTTGCAGCTCTTTACCTAAACTTTACCCAATAATAAATTCTGTACATATACACATATACATACTTACACATAAAGTGTATATATATAAATGTAATGTGAAGGGAATTAACGAATATAGATAAACAAATATAACAAATGTCTCATTATTATTATTTCTGTTAGATAGATATTTATTTTTTATATAAACCGCTTTTATTATTATTAATATAAAAAATAATAGATAGAAACGTTAAATTTAAATTTTCAAAAGACAAAACAGTTACTCGCATCATAATACATTCTTTGTTACTCGTAAAAAACTTCAATTACTTATAATACGTATATATTTATTTATTTATATACTGTATCGTATCGTATCTCCTCTTAGCCGGTAAATAGTTTTATACGTCAGTTAGTCTTTAAAACCTAGCCTTTAAATATAAAAGTCTTAAACATCATCACACAAAATTTTCTTAAAATATGGCTCCTGTACTACTACTTCCTTCTCAAAATTGTTTGTTACCTTTTGGAAGAGCTTTACGCGAGAAACCTTCAAATTCATCAATGAAACAGTCTAATCAACAATATTTTAAGAAATCTACGTCAACTCTTATTAAAACAACAAGTGTTCCCTTCTCTAATAGTAATCCTCCTCAAAAAAATGTAAAAATTATTAAAAATATTAAAAATGAAAAGAATTGTTCTCAAAAAACAAAAAATAATCAAAACGAAAACAAAAATCGAAACAACAACAAAAACAAAAACCAAAGCAACAAAAACCAAAACAACAACAACAAAAACCAAAATAACAAAAATAATAACGATAACAATTTAATAATCAATCATTTTATGAAACATAAAACTGGAGCTTCTATTTCTTCTGTTTCATCCAATTCATCTTCCAATTCATCCATTGTTTCATTTTCTTCGGCTACTTCATCATCATCATCTTCTTCTTCTAATTCTCCCACGATTCCCTTAAGACGTTTAAATTCTCATCGAAATGACAGACCGTTGAATGGATTTGAAGAACTTTTAAATACAACTCATAAAACTCAAAGAGAAGTTAAAGCTTCTTTATCAAAACTTAGACGAATGGTTCTTGTCGATAGTTTACCTGATGAGGTATTTTTTAATTATTTATAATTCTATTGTATAAAGTTGAATCATAATATAATCCTTATTAACATATCTCTCATAATGATTACTATATATATGATATGATAATTATACTATACGTAATGATATGATATCTATATTATTAGAATCTTCCTAAATTAGCTCCATCAGTACAAAGTTTAATTCGTCCTAACTCTTTACGTTCAAAAGTGTGGAAACATTTTTTGGGAGTTTATCATGTGTCAGCCAATGAATATATAAATTTAATACAAAAAGGAAAATCTTGCGTATACGATAAAATTCGAAACGATACTTTTAGAACTTTGGCCACTGATCAAAAATTTTCAGAAAGAGTTAATGAAGAAATGTTGATTAGAGTTTTGAATGCTTCGGTTTGGAAAATGAAGTGTAAGTATCGTAAGATTTTCATTTCTTTTATTATAATTAAAAATTAAAATATTTAAAAAATGTGTAAAATATTTAATATATCTAATAATAATAATAATATTATTATTATTTATATTTCTTTATAGCAATCAAAGATCATCAATCAATTACTTATGTTCAAGGGATGAATGTTTTACTCGCTCCATTTTTATTTACCATGTCAGAATTGGACGCTTATTTTTCTTTCGTTACTTTTATTCAAAATATTTGCCCCTTATATGTTACTCCCACGCTTGAAGGTGTTCATTCTGGTTTGAAAGTAAGAGAATATTTTTTTTTTATATGTTTTATTTTATTTATTAATTATAAAATTTTATATTAATCATTACGTATATATATATATATATATTTATTTATTTATTTATCTTTTTATTTAATAGCTTTTGGATAGATGTTTGCAAATACTTGATCTGAAATTATTTATTTACTTAAAATCAAAAAATCTCACGGCAGAAATTTATGCTTTTCCATGTAATTATTAACATTTTAATTTAATATTTTAATTATCTAATTAATATTATTTTAATATTATTTTAATTATTATATTTTAATTATTATTATTTTAATTATTATATTTTAATTTCTAACAAACGAAAATTTTGTTCATCATAACATTTCATATTAGCTGTACTCACTTTATGTGCGTGTACTCCTCCTCTTGAACAAGTTTTAAAGTTATGGGATTTTCTCTTCGCTTATGGAATTCATTTAAACATTATTTGTGTTATTGCTCAACTTATTTTAATGAGAGATCAATTATTGGATGCTCCAAGGTTATTATCCTTATCTTTTTACGTTTTTTTTTTTACTTTTACTTTTTTTTTTTTTACAAATCAACGATATAAATAAATATAATTTAATTTATAGTCCAATGAAATTACTAAGAACGATGCCAGAATTGAACGCTAAATCTATCATAAATTTGACTGTACAACTTGTTCAACAAATTCCGGATAATTTATACGAACTACTCGTTAGACATCCATTTGATCCTACAGTAGCAACTACCATAACTGATACCTTTGAAAGCGAACCTCCCGTTACTACTATTACTACTAAAAATAACACTATCAATAATACTAATACCGTCAGCGCCACCACCAGGGTGACGACAAAGACTAAGATGGTTACAAAGATGAACAATAATAATAAGACGACGACAAAACCGAATATGAAAAAATAAAAAAAAAAAATTTAAAAATTAAAATCATATAAATTATAAATATACAGTATCTCTCTTTATTTATTTAAACAAGACGAAAAAAAAAAGTTTTTAACTATAGACATAATAATGGCCACTTGCCAAAAAAAATATTTGTTGTATTTTATTTATTTATTTATTATTTATATTTTATTTGTTTATTTTATTTATTTGTTTGTTGTAGATATTTTCTTTAAAAAAAAAAATTATCTCATTCCTATTTCATTGTTTTCCATCTTTTGATTTTCTTAAATTGTCATTGGATATGGCATGAAATGATGAAATGAGATTCCTTAGCTATTATTGGTAGTTTATTTTATTTTAAGACATGAACTTAACTCTTTAATTCGTTGAGTTCTTTTTTTAGAAACAAATTGTATTTTTATTAAGAAAAAATTTTTTTTTGTATTTTTATTGTATTTTTATTGTATTTTTAGTTATTAATTCGTTGATTTATTTATATAACTTACATAATCGTAGTTTTTGATTCATATTCTCCATACTTTAAGTTTCTTTTTTTTTATTATTATTTATTATTATTAGAGAAAAATATGAATCGAAATGTAAAGAAAAAAAAAATTTAATAAATAAAGAAGCGATACATAAGTATTTTATATTATCGATTTTAGAAAAAAAGATTTTAGAAAAAAAAAGGAATAAAAGATCCACGAAAATTTAAAAAAAAAATCGACGGAAAAATATTTTATATTATTTATATCTCGAACCACTTTTTGAAATTCTTCTAAGAAATTTTAATTTCTAAAGAAATGACATTTAAAATTTTTTTTAGAAAAGTTATTTCTAAACTTTTCAAATAATTAAGTGCGATCATTTATAGAAAACTCGTAATAAATAATATTATCACGTGGGTGTGATAGAAGTGATTACCGTGATTAGATGGATACGCGTTTTTAATCATTGCAAAACCCTACTCAAAATTCAAGAAAAAAATGATATTTAAATTTTTTGACAAGTTATATCGAGACTTTACGGAACTCCTTGACGACAAAGAAGGATATAATGTTATGGTTTTGATTGAAGTTGATAAAGAACCAAATAAAAAAAAACTTCACTGCACGCTCAGACATCTTACGTTATCGATCATCTTACTTTAATAAAGAGCTATCACTTTTGATGATGGTGGGGACAATGATGATATTAAAACAATTACTAAACCGAATATTTCCGCTCAAATATTCAAAATTATTCTCAAGTCAGCATGATTTTATTTTACATATATTTATGATAATTTAATAAATATTTTTATATATGATCCAAATATTTAATAAATTTTTTTTATAGATATATGTATTTAAGGCGGAATTATTAATACGGAAAACGTGGGTACCGAAACTATATTTGAATTGATGTTTGTTGCTAATGAGTTAGAGTTTGAGGAATTATCTGAGAGATTAGAAAATCATTTTGTTGAATCAAAGCTCCTTGGTTAAGAACCTATTTCACCTTTGTTTATAATTCAAGTTCTCAAAATAACAAACTTAAAAATTCCGGAATGATACTCTTGCAAGATATCCAAGTCCTATTTTTGAATTTTCGGAATTCACTTCACTTCGTGAATCTGTTTTGATGTCAATTTTAAAACTTGATGACCTACAGGTGAAAGAATCCGAGATTTGGATTACGTATTAAGTGGGGAATGACACAGAATTCTACTTTACCCGAGAAATTGAAAGAATGGACTGACGAAAACTTTATTAAATTAAAAACAACTCTACAACAATGTTTACCGCTTATTCGTTATTTTCACATTTTAAGTTCAGATGTTGTGGAGAAAGTCAAGATATAAAAAATTCTTGATGAACAATTATGGAGTGATATAGAATAACGTTCAGTTCAACCAATAAAATATATTATCCTTCCACCAAGAATAATTGAATTATTTTCAACCCTAATCAATAAAGAACAAGCAATAATGATTTCATCATGGATTGATCATCGGCGAATAAATTATGCTTCAATTAATAGTCCTTATGAATTTCGATTAATTCTTCGAGGAAGTAAAGATGGATTTTCTCCAAGAACTTTTTGGAATGTTTGCGATGGGTATGCTAACACAATTGTGGTAGCTAAAGTTAAAGGAACGGATGAAATTTTTAATCCATTAGCTTGGGATAAAAAAGACGATTGGGTGAAAACAAATAAGAGTTTTATATTTTCATTTAAAGAAGGTAATACCCAAAATTTAATTCTTAGTAAAGTTAAAAATAAAGATATGGCTTTACGTTATTCTTTTATTAAAGATATTGATGGTCCAAAATTTGGATGTGATGAATTCAAGCTGGAATCATGGGTAAATAATTTTGCAAAAAAATGTGGGGATGCTTTTCATTACGAAAAATCTATTAGATCAACCAGCAAAGAATTTTTATTACAGATTTTGGAATGTTTACAGTTATTACAAAATCTAACTGTAGAATCATTTAACTATGTAATTTTTTTTTAGTTCAATATTATTCTTTATAATTAAAAATATTAACGAAATTAGAATCTTAAGGATATTGTAATAAATAAATATATTTTAAAACATCATCATCGAGCATATATGATGAGGATTATTATATGGTCACATGGTCATCGGCGGAAGTGTAAAATTCTACACCCAAGGCAAAGGTAAACAATTACAGTTAATTTCACCGGGATATCCTCATCATAATGAAAACAGTCACTTCTAATAGTTAGAATAACTCGAAAATCTTTTATACTGTAAATGTTTTTTTTCTCACCTAGATTAAAAGATCATGTGTTCGAATTTGTAATATAGTGTGGGAAAAAAATAAATTTACAGTAATAATTTATTATTTGGTAATAGTGGTTAAGAAGTAATTCTAATAAAAACTTTACCAAAGAAGGATTATAATAAGTAAATTTTTCTTTTTTGAATTTAGGATCAAGTCAAAATAAACAAACAGAATTAGATTCAATTATTCAAATTATGTAACGAAAATTTTACAGTTTTTATAAATGAGCGATAAATTTTTAATTTAATACTTCTAATATAAAATATGTAAACTTATATAACTTTATTTGCACTTTCATTATCGAAATAAATTTTTTTTTATTAATATTTAAAAAAATGCAACTGATTTTTATTGGTTGAACCAGCTTAATAAAATATTATAATAAACAAAAATAAAATAATAAATAACATATACACAGTACATTTTTAAGAAAGGAAATCGTTTATGTAATGCCGCTTTTTGTATTTCGAAACAATCCGTAATTATTATTGTTGTTGAACTAATGCATGCAAAACGGAATTTATTAAATCCGACTCCGATAATGTAATATTTTTTTTAGATTTTATTTAAAAGAAATGGACGGAGAAACGAGAAAAACGGAAAAAATGGAAGAATCAGAAGAGTAGGCATATTGTTATATTAAATTTTATTTACATCCATAATTTATTACTAATAATAATTCACATAAATTATATTCCTAAACTAATCAATTACAGCTTGTGAGTATTTAAATTCATAATTATTTGAAATCAAAATGTTTCAATTATCATATTACAATTCTCTAATCAATTTATAAACTAATTAATATAAATAGTTAGTGAGTATTTAGATTAATAACTATTGAAATCGATGTTTCAATTTAATTCAATATCGTATGACAATTCTCTAATCAATTATAAACTAATCAATATAAATTATATTACAGCAAGTGAGTATTTAGATTCATAATTATTGAAATCAATGTTTCAAT